TTCAAGACCATTCCTGGTAGAACAATGCCTCCATTATCTACTTCTGATTGGAGTTCTGTAAAATGGATGGATAAGCAAACAGGTGATTGTAAAAGGGGCTTTGTTACGCATTTGAAGTTTGTATATTCAGAATATACTGGACTGGTTAGAGCTGATATGATATACTGGACTCAGAGGTACTGTGAAAAATCCAATTCATGGGTGATGTGTTAATAAACTTTCAGATTCATTCAATTTGGCATCAAATTCAGCTTTTGATGATCGGTATTTGTAACGTGCCTTCATCACTTTTTGAAGTTCTGACCACAGCTTTGAATTTTTGAATAAAAACCCCTCTGTAATGTGCTGTGCTATTAAATCCCATCTTGAATCAGATCCCAATCCTCCATTTCTTCCTCTTGTTAAATTATCTGTTACATGATACTTTCCAAGACCTTCATTAATAAAATTCATTCCATTTTTGAGTGATAAAATTTGAACCCACACTTCAATTAAATGATACTTCATTTGGTGAAGATAATGTGGACCTTTCTCAAAAACTTCAACATAGAAGGAGCAATATTTTGAAACTCTTTTTTGAATAAAGTGACGTTGCTGTGGATCTTTAAGTATCTCCATGACTTGTTCGTCATCAAAATGCAAATAATCTTGAACTTCGTAAAAAATTGACCATAATTGTGAAATTTTACCATCTTTCGAAAACGGATTCAATTCATTTCCAATTCCAACCATATCATGAATTATTTGCATTATTTCTCTGTGTTTGATTCAATAGAATTAGAATCCGAACCTTCTTCCTCTAAAATCTCATTAAATTTAATTTCCATTTCTTCTAAAAAATATGGATACACTTTTGTTATGTATTTCACATAGGAAGCATCAATGAAACTAAATGATTTCTTGATCAGTGGAATCTCCTGTGTTCTTAGTATCCTTAGTGGTGGACAATTTTAAATGAATGGTTTGTCCACAATGTTTTTTCACTAATTTGGGAAGAATTTCAACAAGAAAATCTAAAAGTCTATCATCATTCATACAAGTATTATTTAACATATGCTCCAAAGTTCTTGCATCACAATGAAGCAAATCAAAAATATGCTGATAATGTTTTAATTTAAAAATATTGAATAATTCAATTTCATGATTAGGATGAAATGGAGTTAAAGGTATTTGTTCAAGAAGTGAAACTTTGTTCAATTTTTTAGTACAATTACATCTCCAACAAATAGGTAATTGATTGAAGAATGTTCTATCATTTCCTAATAAATATGCATACTTGGTGGATATGTCAAGGAATGAGCACAAATGTTCCTCTTCTGGAGTTAAAATATTATCTATTCGGTCTTGACTAGAATTTACATTTTCCAAAACCTTCAATAATTTCCCTCTCATTTTAGAAGGAATAATATTAATAATATATTTAGTTTTTGATTTGGTGTCGAGTTGATCATTATTAATAATATAATTAATGATTTCTATACTACTTAAAATATTAGATGATTGGTTTTTTTGTTTGAAGGATGGATCAAGTATTTCTTTCATAGCCAATAG